ATTGAAATCTGTTTCAAACGACTATGACCAATGACCTGTACGTCTATCTGAAATCTACAGAATACCTCACATCATTACCTACCCTAATCTTTATAAAGTGCTGCTTAAAAAGTGACCAATTACCATTTAAATTTAAAACAATTTATTTTTTAATTACCATGGCGGCTACTTGAACTACCTTAAGTACAGGAAATGAACAAATGAAAATGTAGTCTGAGGGTTCTTCTGTTAATCAGGGTCGGCTCGAGTACCGTAATCAATATTGTCCCAGGAGTTTTGTACGAATGCTACGTACCTGTACTCGTAATATAAATAATCCAGCAATTTTAAAAAGTGAAATTTAATTAGAAAGAATTTGTAGTTTTGGTATGCATTTTTCCATCGCATTCTACACAATCTTGATTGGAGTTAATCTCCTGAAATTTTTCTAGTATCTGTACGAATTGTTTTATAAATACACACTGGATGACAGAAAGATCAATATTTTGAAAAGTAATGACATCACCAAAAAACTAAAATAAAAATATGCAAAACACTAATAACAAGATTAGCAATTATAAGCAAGTTCTCGGAATAACATTAAATAAAAAAGAAAAAGACCGAAAAATGGCAGAAAGGAAAATAATGAGAATCATACAAAGCCCAAATTTAACAGAAAAAGAAAAAGTAGTCTAAAAACCAATAAAGAAAATTAAGACGAACTCGGAGGTTAAACTATTATGAGATAAATAAAAGCGGAGCGTCTGAAGTGTATGTTAAGACATGTCATGCGGGTGATAAACCCGTCAGAAATTTTCAAAATAATACAGTAGATGCCACTGTGGCTAAAAAAGGGGAGTACCTACCAAGAAAAAAATGGCGATAGGATATAAACCACTAGGAATAATAAGACTGGAAAATGAAGTGAAAAAAATAGGGAGAAGTGGAAAAAATAATGTATGGAACAAGAACCCATCCGACTTGGTAACGCACTTAAGAAAAAGAGGAGTGATCCACCTCAACAAATGCCTTAACCAGTGGCGTAGCTAGCCTTGCGGGGCGGAGGGGGCATACATTTAAAGGGGCTCAACATACATTTTTATTTGCCAGAAAAAAAACAACACTTTATATCCTAAAATATTTTTAAAATATGTCTTGTTCAAATCCATTTACTTTTAATTGAAACTTATTTGTGTCTCTATAACACAAATTGATTTATCGAGCAATTACGCACATCCTGTATAATATATGAATATTCTCACGTGACTTATCACTATTTCTAATACCATTCGTATAATAACGTTATTTCGAATTTTTTTTCGTCCATTTTTTTTGTTGTACACTTCGGAATCGTATGCATGTCGCTAAAACGTGATATTTTATCAAGAATTTTACTAAAACAAAAAAGCATACGTTCATTAATTATTTAAACTGCATCGATTATTTTAGCGTATGCAAATATCTTAAACACTTCCGAAATGTATGCACAATTTTTTTTTTCGCGCATGTTTACCCAATTCTTTTCGCGCATATTTACCCAATACTTTCACATAGTCTAATTGCGTACATTAAATAATTATTTCCAGTAATAACAAAAGAGTACATGCCTAAAAAAATTACCGCAACGCATGTGCACGCCGCGATTGTATGCAAAGTAGCTTTTTGTGGTCTATTTAAAAACAAAAATATTGCTGTAAAAAAGCATACGTTTAATAATTGTTCTTTAATATTTCTCCTTTTCTACATGTTCAATTAACAATTTTGGGACGTACTACACGAAACAGGCATATGCAAATTATTTCTGCGGTACCCCAGGCAGCAGACTGACGTCATTATAACATCTTATTTTCGTCATACAGGACGTCATTTATCCTCTGACAACTAACGTGATAATGACGGTAAAATGACGTGAAAATGTCACAGCCTAAATGACGTCATATTTAAACGCCCTTTTCACATCTAAATATGACGTGTTTAAGACGTTATTTTAGTGTCACCTTTGTCGTTATTCTTTATACTTATTTGAGACGTCACCATGACGTTACATTTGATATTGTTACTCCTTTGTAACTTTTCTATAGGAATTGTGGGTCACTTAATAAAACAAAATTAGAAAATGAAATAATTATAATTAAAAAGAAAAAAGTTTAAATACATTAAATGTTATTGGCAAAAAACATTAATTTATATAAATCCAACTGCTCCAAATGTGGCCAACTTGTTCGTTATTATTTTGGTTTGGCACAATTATTATTTCCGCCATTTTATACTATTTCACGAACCTGGTAACATTTTAGGAAACATCCTATGCATGTAAAAGATATAAAATCATTAAAGAATAAGGATAATATAGATATAAAAATACCTTATGCTGGGTTGATACTGATATAACTTTTTTCACTGACCCTCTTAATTTTTAACAACAATCCTGAATGCACACGGGCCACGATCTACGATGCACACACCATTACACATGGCCGATGCAATAATCTGCGGTACCGTTCTCGTACTTGCTCGAACGGCTCGAACACACACGAGCCATACTCCACAGACCGATAACCATAGACAGACGCAGTACATGTGTCATATGATGTCATCAGTCTTTATGCATTTAAGCGCCAGATTTAAACGTTAATAGACCTAACAGTTTTAAAAACTAATTTTTTAGGCCATATTATTTTACATAAATAAAATGTATTGAAATCACGTTTAATATAAACCTTAATTTAATAGTGACAATAAATTGACGTCACACTGACGTCGAATTTGTGACGTCAAAAAGACGTTAAAGAAGTGACGTCATAATCACCTCATTTTTTGGTAACATGACGTCGATAAAAATAAATAAAAATAAATAAAAATAAATAAAAATAAATAAAAATAAATAAAAATAAATAAAAATAAATAAAAATAAATAAAAATAAATAAAAATAAATAAAAATAAATAAAAATAAATAAAAATAAATAAAAATAAATAAAAATAAATAAAAATAAATAAAAATAAATAAAAATAAATAAAAATAAATAAAAATAAATAAAAATAAATAAAAATAAATAAAAATAAATAAAAATAAATAAAAATAAATAAAAATAAATAAAAATAAATAAAAATAAATAAAAATAAATAAAAATAAATAAAAATAAATAAAAATAAATAAAAATAAATAAAAATAAATAAAAATAAATAAAAATAAATAAAAATAAATAAAAATAAATAAAAATAAATAAAAATAAATAAAAATAAATAAAAATAAATAAAAATAAATAAAAATAAATAAAAATAAATAAAAATAAATAAAAATAAATAAAAATAAATAAAAATAAATTAAATAAAAATAAATAAAAATAAATAAAAATTACTTCAAAATATTCTGAGATACGGCGGTCACCACCCTTAATGAATGATCCTGTAAATAATATTAAAATTATATTGAATAATCTAAAATGTATAGTTCTGTGTCTCGTTCATACAAACTAAATGAGACACATTTTACTCAAATTTGGTTATAGATCTACATCATCCAATAATTTCCTATAACATAAAATATATTTATATTCCGTTACAAGTGCTATTAATTTAATAAAAACATTGCATTTTCTACATTAAAATCAAATACTTGTAACGCTGAAGTAGAATTAAAATAGTTAATCCTTCATTTCAATGTAGAAAACTAGAATAATAACTAGAAATACCTATGCAACGTAAATAAGTAGTTTTTAGTATTTACCCCATAAAAACTGCTATTTGCACCACTTCATACTACTTAATTTATAATATTTATTCAACATAAATTATGTTTAAAATAATATAAATACAAAATACGTCTTAAAAATAAGGATATCTGCATCTACTTACTCCTTACTGTTATTATTTTGGGTTGAACGGCACATCTTTTTCCTCAAATACATTCAAACAAATGATATGGAAGTCCGAGCTCTAGTGACCGGTTCGAATAGGAAATTTCTTGTTTTAAGTAATTGTAATTGGAAAAAAGTAATTGTAATTGGAAAAGTAATTGTACTTATGACAAATAATTGTATTTAGACAATTTAAATAATATAAATTAATATAAATAAAAAGCACAATTCCTTCACAGATTTTGTTTAAATTACAATTCCAAATTACTTTGAGAAAAAAGTACTTAAATACAATTACAAATTACGTGAAAAAAGTAATTGTAATTATTAATTACTTTTTAACTAGGAATTACCCAGCTCTGCTGTTTATGTTATTAGTGTATGGGAAGTATCGAGGATATGCAGCATCATAAAGAAACAGGTCAAATTTTCTAAACGTCAAAAAAAAATTAATTTTTTCTCACATTTTCGATCGTTTTGATTTACCTGTATCCAAATAAATACAAATTTAAAATAAGATCTTTTGAAACACCCTGTATTATAAGTTAACAATTTAGGAAATATTTGCTTTTCGACTGTAGTGCGGGAAAGTGGCTCTATAAGCACGGCCATAGAAAAATAACTCTTTACAACTGAAGTTTTAGGTTCTAATATTGGCAATAATCGATTTGCTTCCTTCTTTCAATAACGATTTATTTTTAATTTTCCGCTTTGTTATAATTTTAAAATTCGTTACAGTCGGCTAGGGCCAGCCCTCCTCTTTTAATCCTTAAAAAAAATAACGCCCAGCGGAAGTGGTTAAACATTGTTTGACAATGTTAATTATTTTTTTCTCTCATTGAAGCACTTGTCGAGTGTTTAACAGTAGAGTGGGGGGTTTACCCCGGTAGTAGCTGTGCACTTCATTGGTCGACGCAGCACCACAGAACACGGAACGTGACTTTACGCATTCATTCAATCCTTCCACATATCGTTGGCCGAAGCGTGCTTAGCAGCTTACGCGCGCGACTTTCATTTTTTTTTTAAATTTAACACGCGCGCCTTTGCAAACAAACCGAGCATGTAGATTTTTTGAGTTTTGTTTTTCGGGTTCGTACGGTAGAAAAAAGGTAGGATTTTTGTGAGTTCAGTGAGTTGATTATGAAGAAATAAATTGTAAAACAATGAAGAACTCGATTTTGGTGGTGTTATGTTGCATTGTTGTGAGGACTACCTGTTTCGATTATTCTGATAGTGATGTGGAGAGCGGTTGTATAGAAAATTGCCCCAAACAGGTAAATATTAAGTCAATTCAACTTCTATTTCAAAATCAAAAGGTTTTCAAATCGATTTCGACAAAAAATATATTCTACATACTTTTTCTTGCGACTTCACTTTATAAATAAGTCAACTCCCTTTTTTTCCTTCTTAGGAACTTCAAATGTGACAGCAAGATTGATAAAATTAATTAACGTTTTGTTAAATTATGATGTATATTTTACGAGATTATGGAAGCTCTGATACTATTTAATTAAAAACTATTTGTTTTGCCATATTTAAAAGGATTTTCTGAACAATAAGTGTCTAAAATATTTTCTAAATAAAATATAAAAATTGCTAATACAACTAAAACGTTATTTTTGAAGTTTAAGCCCAAAATTAGTAAAATAAATCAACCAAATGTTATCTATAAAAATGACTGCAAAGACTGTAATTCCACTTACAGTCTGTTCGCTATACTTACGCGCGTTTTGGATTAACAAAATTATGCAAATTAGTCATTGACAACCAGTTCCAATAAGCCTCTTCCCAAGAAATTAGGTAAAATTGCCCTAATGGTCAGATTTAAATTAAAATAACATTAGGGTAGGTACTAAATTTGTTACAAATATTGCAGTTGAGTTGATTCTTTGCAAGTGTTGACATTGTATGTATATTGTAAATTTAGTGGAAATTTTAAAAATGCCTAGACGTGTGTTAGATGCAGATAGTCTAATTTGTAGTGTATATAAGTATTTTACGGATGAAAAAGAAAATGGCGATCCTTTAAAATCGGTAATGTCTGCACAACAACGCGTATGCGATGCTCTAGGAATTAGTGAAACCAAATTAAGAGGAGTATTACAAAATCACAATAGTGAACTGCCGAAAGAAGATCACCGCAAAACTCGCCCATCATTGAAAACGGAAGATATTCCAGATGGAAAGAAATTTGAAATTCGTGATACCATTTATCGAATGAGGGCCAACAAGGAACATGTGACCTTAAATACAATTCTCTCGGAATTAATAGATAGAAAATTTGACGACATTGGCAGAACAAGTCTATGGCAAGTGACACATAACTTGGGTTTCAAATTTCAAAAGGAGGATAACAGAAAGGCCCTTTGTGAAAGAAATTCTGTCGTACACAAGAGAATTAACTTTCTAAGAAAATATTCTAAATTTAAAGAAGAAGGGGCGAATTTTATATATTTAGACGAAACATGGATATTTTCTAGGGGTGCAACCAAGAGAATATGGCAAGATGATAACGTAAAGTCCATCAAGCATACCGATGGAGAAGGGAAGCGACACATAATTTTACATGCAGGAGGGAAATCGGGTTTTATAGAAGGTGCTGATTTAATATTTTCATCTAACTCAAAATCCAGTGACTATCACGATAATATGAACACAGAAATGTTTGTAAAATGGTTCCATGAAAGACTTCTCCCAGGTTTAAGTGAGCCCAGCGTAATTATTTTAGACAATGCACCTTACCATTCTGAAGTATTAAACCAAAGTCCAACGAATTCTTGGACTGTTAATAAAATTAAAGAATGGTTGACAAAGGAACATATACCATTTCCTCAATATATATTAAAATTAGAATTATTACGCTTGGCAAATATACACGCAAAACCAAAAATCTTTGTTGTGGAACAGATTATTGAAAGTTACGGTCATCAAATTTTACGTCTGCCACCGTATCATTGCCAGTTTAATCCCATCGAATATACCGGGTGTCCCAGATTTTTTTGCCCAGCGGATATCTCGGTTATTTAATGATATAAAATTGTAAAAAAAAATATGAATAATATTTGTCTAGTAGCCTTTTAAATTCCACTATATAAAGTTATATTCATCAATCCACCCCATAGAAACAACCCCTAACTTTTTTTTTTCAAATGTCACCCCTATATTTTTTTTCGCTGATATAAATACTCAATTTATCCCGAATACAACGATATGATTTTTGATATACTTTACAGAGTCATAAAGCCGGTAAAGACTAAAAACCAATGTTGTGGTTAAAGTCATTAATAATTAGTTTACATTTTATCATTTTATTATATTAAAAAATAACAAATCCAATGAATAGGTAAACCTCTTAATATGTTTTTTAAATAATTGAATATTTACAAAAATTGTTCGAAATGGCCCCCATTACTTGCCAAACATGCTTCAAAACGTCGAATGAGTTCACGAGTACATGACGCTGTAATCATTTCTGGTGTAATGTTATTGCAGGCTTGTACTATTTTATTTTGCAAATCTTCTAAATTCAATGGCTGTGTTTCAAATACCACGGTCTTCAGATATCCCCATAAAAAAAATCTAGAGGCGATAAATCTGGTGAACGCGCAGGCCACCTCAAAGGGCCGCTGTTTCCGATCCACTGATTTTCAAAGCGTTCGTTTAAAAATTGGGTAACTAAATTACTATTATGTGGAGGAGCTCCATCTTGTTGCCACCACATAGCACCTCTTTCTTGTATTGGAATTTCTTCAAGAAGTTCTGGAAGGTCATTTTCAAGAAAGTGTAAGTACCTAGCACCAGTTAACGTACTTTGAAAAAAATAGGGACCTATCAGTCGTCCCTGAAATAATCCACACCACACATTTACTCCCCAGATGGTCTGAAAGTTAGTTTCCCTAACCCAGTGAGGGTTTTCAGGAGACCAATAATGCATATTGTGACGATTTACAGTAGCATTATTGTGAAACCTTGATTCGTCACTCCACAATATCTGGTTCAAAATGTTGGGATTTCGTTCCATTAAATCTTCAAAATGTGCTATTAATGTTATCCTTCTTTCGAAATCTCCAGCTCTAAGTTCCTGATGCAAATGAATTTTAAACGGATGAAAATTATAGGATTTTAGGATTCTTTGTACTGACGACTTACTAATATGAACCTCGTTAGCTAGGTTTCGCGTCGATATCTGGGGATGTACTTGCACATAAGCTAATACATTAATGCACATTTCTTCAGTTCTTACAGCAGCAGCATGTTGACGATGTTTGTCTTTTCCTGGAAATGACCCTTCTCTCATCCTAGTCTCAACATAAGAATATGTTTTACGTGATGGTTGTCGGCGCTCAGGAAACCTCTCTTGATACAAGTGTACAGCAGCACGAGAATTTTTTTGGCACTCACCAAAAATTAAAAGCATATCAACATATTCGGTTGGAGTGAATGTAAAGGGCATTTTGTCTGTTGTTTATAGCTAGCGAACAATTTCAGAAATGGTCTAAGCATATCGTTAGTTAGTTATAGGTAACAAAAAAAAAACAAAAACGAAGCAATTCTAATCAAAATAAAAAGAAAATACCAGGTGATACAAAATTAATGACTTTAACCACAACATTGGTTTTTAGTCTTTACCGGCTTTATGACTCTGTAAAGTATATCAAATATCATATCGTTGCATTCGGGACAAATTGAGTATTTATATCAGCGAAAAAAAATATAGGGGTGACATTTGAAAAAAAAAAGTTAGGGATTGTTCCTATGGGGTGGATTGATGAATATAACTTTATGTAGTGGAATTTAAAAGGCTACTAGACAAATATTATTCATATTTTTTTTTACAATTTTATATCATTAAATAACCGAGATATCCGCTGGGCAAAAAAATCTGGGACACCCGGTATATAGGGAATAGCAAAACAATATGACAACCATATTGGGCCTAATGGTTATAGTGACGACGCAGTTCGGGAAACTTGGCGAAACGCACTTTCAATTGCAACTCCAGAAGTGTGGCGGAACTGTACATCCAAGTGCGAGAAACTAATAGAAGATTGGTGGACTCGTGAAAATAAAATAATAAGTCCAATCATAATAACAATTAATGGTGATGACAGTGATGATGATGACGATTATGATATTTTGGATGATAATGACTGATTTTCATTTTTGTTGGCAAGTTCATTTTTTTTATTTTTCATATGAAATTCTCTACATGGAACAAATTTTTATGTTAGAAAATATTTTATTTGAGCTAAATAACCTTCTTATTATACATAGACCATATTTTCTGTGTGAAGTGTAATATAAAATTATTATTAGGTTTATAATAGCCACATTAGACTCCATTAATGAAGAAGTTTAATTCTGCTCTCAATTATACAAAAGATTCTCCAGTATTATTTAATTAAAAAGTTGTACATTATTTTTCATTTCATTTAACCAGTTGATATTTCCCCAAAGAACAGGTCAAACTTTCGGGTACTTACCTGGAAATACTCATAAAAATTTTAATCCGAAACCCGTGTAAGTATAGCGCACAGACTGTACATTGGACAAACAAAACAATATTTACATAAAGAATAAAAAACTATAAAAATAATATCGCAACTAATAATGAAAATTCCACTACCTTAACTAAAAATGCGTTAGAAAATTTTGAAAATGTAAGAATTCTTGAAAATGAACCAAATCTCAACAAAAGAACAATCCTTGAGATGATACATATTAAAAAAAATAAGAACTCTGTAAATAATAAAAGACATAAAAGATTTGTTAAACGTTTATTTTAATATTATTAAATAATTGTAAGCTTTCTATTCCTTAACTGTAACGCCACTGGTAATTTTTAACTTTGTAAATACTTATCTTTTTGTTTCCTTACTTTATCGTATTAAACCAAATCACGCTGAAACAGAAAAGATGGGGTTTCGGTTATCAAAAAAAAAAAAATTAGACTGTTGTAATCGTCTCCATGTTTTATTAAATTTTGACTGCACCCGAAGATGGAAATTTTTTCTAAACATATGTAGTGCTGTGTTAAACGATAAAAAATGAAAACATGATCGAATAAACCAAGAAATTTTTTATTTATATAATATTTGTAAAGGATACTTGACGGGTCAGTGCTTGGACCCTTTTATACTAAGAGCGATCGCTAGATTTTGAGTTGCTGCACTCGATTTTGATCAACAACTGTTATATCAACTTGGCAATAATTTAAACACTACATAGGTTGGTACTTCTAATAAATAATTGGCAAAAAAAGTCGTACAAAAAA